AGTGACAGGACAAGGGGCAATGGGTACAAGTTGAAACACAGGAAGTTCCATCTCCATATGAGGAAGAACTTCTTTCCTGTGAGGGTGACAAAGCCTGGCACAGGCTGCCCAGGGAGGCTGTGGAGTCTCCTTCTCTGGAGGTCTTCAAAACCCGCCTGGATGCCGCCCTGTGCCCCGTGCTCTGGGTGTCCCTGCTGGAGCAGGGGGTTGGACTAGATGATCTCTAGAGGTCCCTTCCAACCTCAACCRTGCTGTGATTCATTAAAGGCACATCTGTACAAGGCAGAAGATATCTATCCATCACTAATCTGACCTTCATAATTCAGTATGTGTTTATTCATGCTCTTACTATAACCCAAATCTGTATCCTCAAATGCATGGATGAGGAATAAATCTCAAGGGCTGGACTGAATTCCTGGAAATGGCCTGACTGTTCAYAACTCACATAACCAGCTGATGCATCCAAGTCAGGGACGAGTCAAAGAAGAAAATAAAGAAAATGCCTGGAAATACTTAGTCCTCAACACCAAATACAATATATGCAGAAACCTAACTGGATTAACTRGAGAACAGCTAACCCAAACTTACAGCTCATGGATATTCATTGTTCCATATTGATCTAGTCCCAAGTTCTGTAAGCAGGCCTGACTCCATGCTGGGTGTGAACCAAATCTTACTAGTCCGACTCTCAAATAACATTCTACGTGTAAGGGAGGACAGAAGCAAGCTAATATGGGTCAAAAGGGATAATGGCTGGAGAGAAAAGGCAGAGCTCTGCACATCTCGGCAAAGGCAGCTGCAACACGTGCTTTGGGATGTGACAGAAGATGAGGTGAGGTCATGTTCTCAGATCCCGGTGATACGAAGGAGCCCTAAAGCTACACCCTGTCCTCATCAGAATCCACCCTGAARCCAAGCCTGAAGGAACAATTCAGTTGAGACAGAGGCTCTTTCAGATAAAATGCGGCTTACTCAACTAATCAGAGAGTTTCTCCCAAAACAGAGTAAGTAACACTTAATCAGGAACATAATGTCATGTGTGAAGGACATTTTGTTAAAAATATACTGCATGTACTGAAGAACCCTGGTTTTTTTCATAAGCTGTGACACATAATGGGCACTGAATCAAACAGCATTGAAGTGTGTRGTTTATGTGATCTTGCTGGACTACCAAACAAGGCTGAACATGGCAAAATCACTGCAGATAGACATTGGAAGATATCTAAAAGTTGCTTTACGGTGCCATCACAACAACTGCTTTTGTTCTATGTTACCACAGCAGTTAAAAAGCTTTAATAGAGAATTAATAATTCAAGTCATTATAAATGTCTTAACCTTATTTGGAAAACATATACAAACTTTGCTGCCACTCCTTCTTGCCTGCCTTCTCCGGATCCCCATATTGAGCCCAGTTTTGCTCTTTCTTACCAGCATAAATTAGAAACAACTTATTCAAGCAATAAAAATACTGCAACATGAAAAGGAATCAGTCACCTGCAAAAAAAGCAGAGTCTGATTTTTCCACTGACAACTCTTACCATAAAATAGGTTGCAGAAATTACTCTTTTATTTAACACTGAAAGTAAACAATTAATGTAAAATATATGTCTGTAAAGGCAGCACATTCTCTGTTAGTGCCCTCTCTACATAATTATTTTCATCTTAGCAGAGAGGTATTTAAACAAGGCTACCATCAAGCTGAAGTTGGAAGCTACTTATCGTGCAAATCAGGCAACTGAACATCTCTTTATTTATGCACTATTTTACGTTTTGTTTCCAATTTGGATGTGGCATCTGTGAGACATATTCACGCATCATTTCTTGTGGTACAAGACAAGGCACCTTTTATGTCCTCCCTCAAACCTCTCCTACCTGATCTCAAGAGCTGCCCACATCAGAATTATTTTGCATACCTTGTGTAAGCAACTGGAGGTTTCGCACTTCTTCTCTCACCTTCAGCTGAAGGACTTGCTGCAGAATGTGYTGCCGCAGGTTCTCCTGGGCAATGCCCATTCGTTCAAGCTTTTTGTCAGTGAGCCTCAGCAACGCTCGGCCTAGGTGCAAAAAGTCMAAAAGGAAAAATCACTCAAGGGTCTCCATTAATGCAATACTCTCCCTCTGATGGGCTGATCTGACATAGAAAAAAAAACAAAAAAAACCCAAAGCTTTGAAATAAATCTTTGAAACACTTCAGTCTGAGAGGATATCCTGCTACCAGCTAGATACCTTCTTACCTTCAAAGATACAAGCAAAGCTACATGTTTTACTTTTTCTGTCACAGTTACATTTTGTTTTGGAGGTCTGTGAGCCATTTAGGCATGTCCTGTGCCACTGGCTGGTAGATAAACAGGGCATATGCCCTTCTTGAATGGCACCTGGTCTCCCACAGGTAGAATTCACTCATAAGTCGGCTATTGGCCCAGGGGTCTGAAATTGGTCTTCACATCAATTTTCATCATTTAAACAACTCTCCAGAAACTACCAGTGAATGTGACCAATTTAATCAATTTTAGGTATTTTGAGGATGAGATTTCTCAGGAGGACTCTGTGAAAAAGCCTTCCAAGTCCTTCTAAATAGTAATCTATCACAGAAGCACAGAAATAAAAGGCCATATTTGCCTTCTGTGGCCCTAGSTAGGAAGATTTTTATCTAATCCATTTGTGAAGAAAGATGTTTGCCCAACTTTTTCTTAAAGAGCCAAAAATCTTTCCAGGCAGTCACTCCCAGTTTATCACTTATCTTTTCCATTAGGAGAATATTGAGCTTTGTTCCCATAGACATTGAAGAAGACATGTTAAAAAATCAATCCAAAGAAGTGCCCTGCTGCTGCAGGTGGAACTCTGACTCCATCACTTGAGCACCTCCATGCTAGAAGCAAGAAGGAGGAAGGCAATACATTGGAGCAGGAAGGCAATACATTGGCTGAGCCAACACCAAGGAAATGTGTGGACCAAGCAGAGAACTATAACGTGAACAAGAGTTGTATGGCAGGGAGAAAAACAACACTTTTTTCTCTGGCCTTCAGAGGTGTTTAGGTCAGTACAGGGAGGCGTGTCCTGGGGCCCTCCATTCAGCCTTGCAGTATCCACATGCTCATCCAAAGGTGCCCTGAACAATAACATATTGGTCAGTGGAGGCGAGCAGGTCAAGGGAGGGGATCCTGCCCCTCTCCTCAGCTCCGGGGAGGCCGCACCTGGAGTGCTGGGGGCAGTTCTGGGCTCCCCRGGACAAGAGGGACATGGAGCTTCTAGAGGGACATGGAGCTTCTAGAGAGGGTCCAGTGGAGGGCAACAAAGATGATTAAGGGACTGGAACATCTCTCGTACGAAGAAAGACTGAGTGAGTTGGGCYTGTTTAGCCTAGAAAAGAGAAGGCTGAGAGGGGATCTGATCAATATGTCTAAGTACYTTAAGGGTGAATGTAGGGAGGCAGGGGTCAAGCTCTTCTCAGTAGTGGCCAGTAACAGGACAAGGGGCAARGGTGTAAGCTGAAACCCAGGCAGTTCCATCTGCATGTGAAGAAGAACTTCTTTCTTGTGAGGGTGWCAGAGCCCTGGCACAGGCTGCCCAGGGAGGCTGTGGAGTCTCCTTCTCTGGAGGTCTCCAAACCCGCCTGGATGCCGCCCTGTGCCCCGTGCTSTRSGTGTCCCTGCTGGAGCAGGGGGGTTGGACTAGATGATCTCTAGAGGTCCCTTCCAACCTCAACCATTCTGTGATTCTGTGAATACTGGCGAAACATACGGGAACTACACGGATATTGCCTGGGAAAATGGAACTCCGTTTGGGTCTTTTTCAATACACTCATTATTTTAGCTCCTCTTGTATTCACTCTGGGTTGTTTAATTATTAAAAGTCTCTTCTTTGATTTCTCAAGCTGTATTCAGACTCCAGAACAGGAGAGCGAGGACCAGTTACTCCCTCTGCAACACAGCAGCTTCTGTGCCATTACTGTGGCTTTTGGATGAATGGTGCAATTTAGCTCATCAGAAAATACTGCTCCACACAGCAAGGTAAGACCCTTATTCAATTCCTTTCCTTGCAATACAGCTATATAGATAAAGAATTTTCAACATTATTTCAGGTAAAGAATTTAACAAAAATGAAATGCCAATGATTTAAAGAGGTATTTGCTCCAAACGCAGCAGTCAGTTGCATCCCCTTCACTAACTACTAGCAATCACTCATAACCAGGTCAATTCTTTAAAGTGGTTGGTGGAATCCTGTATGATGCAAATACAAAACACTGGGATATCACACTTAAAAAGGCAAGATTTATTGGTCAGATAAAAACTAGCRGTGTGTGTACATTTTCTGCCCTTCCATGATTCTCAAGCACTCCTTCATGCAATGGAGGATGACCTTTTGATTGAGAAAACTTTCTTTGAAGTCATAAACCAGAGGTTAATGCAATACCAAAATATGGAAATCAGGCTCTAACAGATCGATGCCAGCTGTCCTATTCCCCTGGTGGAGGAGATAGTAATAATGATTTCAATTTTTACATCACCTTATCATGCTAAAGCATCTCAAAGCAATTTACAAAGGATGTCCAGCAGCCTGAGAATATGGTCTGTAATGTCAATCTAGCAACCAAAAGCGAGCAAAAAATAAACAATTCATCAGTTTGAGGAGTGTCACCCTCCATGTCATGTAAAGGCTGGGACTCAGCAACTGTGACAGGACAGGACAGAGAGGCCATAGGAGGGGTGTTGCCAGCAGGTCA